AATATTACTCCTATCCTTCCTACTTTCTCTTTTTGCAAGGAAACCTACTACATTTTCAATATTTTTCCACTTTATTGTCAATCCTCATCTTCTTCTTTTTCTTCAAGAAGCAACTCTAATTTTCCTTGTAATTCTCCATCACTAGCTTAAAGAAATAATTCAACCTTGTTTGGCTCTAATGTCAATTTTTCTACCTTTGATAATTGAGAATACTACCTTTCAAATTTCCTTAGTAGCTCTTTTGCTTGCAAATTCTTATTAGGCCGCTTAATCCATTTTAGAAATAATTTCTTAGTAACATGATCAGTATCCTCCAAGAAATATTCGTCTTTTAATGCATGTAAAAAAATCTCCCATGAATTTCCATAATGCTCCATAATTGATGTAATATGCTTTCTTATTTCCAGTATCATGGCAAGTCTAAATAATTCAACCATCTTCTTTTCAGAAATCCAATTTAATTCTATTTCTTGAACATAATATCTTAAATACTTTGAAATATCTCTTCCATCAAATTGATCAATTTTATTGACCACTATTTGCAATGCTTTGGTTGCTAAAGCTTCTTTGCGATCATTGCTTTGTTGTTGTTGAATAGATAATAATAACGCTTGAAACATACTAGCAACAAACGGATCCATGTACATACCTTGTCCTTCATAAGAAACCCCACTAGAAGCTCTACTTGAAGCTCCTCCCAAAGCTCCTTCAAAATTTTTATTCTCGTTCTCTATAAAATAAAAATGAAAATAAACAAATTCTAATACCTCCTACCTCAAGCGTTTTACATCGGGTTCACCACTTATGTCGTATTACATGCTATCTTGCTTGAGAACACACCTGGCGTCTAGTTGTAGAAGATAAAATAATGTTTTGCAAGTATCCAAGTAGTCTAGTGGGTTTCAACCATCTAAATACAAACTATTTCGGATTTCAATTTAAAAGCTTAATCCCAATACAAAGTGCTTAGAAACACTATTTTTAATAACTTTAAGATATTTTAAGCACAAATTCTTTTGTTATTTTTTAGTTTTATTTTATTTTATTTTTATTAGTATTATTTTTATTTTTTAATTTTTTTTTAATTTTTAATTTTTAAACTCTAATCCTAGTCAACGAGCTTCGGCAAGCTGTAATTCTCAATCTGATCATCCGATTGTTGTAAACCTTCTACTACTAGTGTCTTTATAAGTCTTCTAAATACTCAAGAAGTTTCAATCCAATCTAACTTATAGATTGTAAGAAAATGTCGTAAATCCACACTAATGTCCCTTGACCGCCACCTAAAAAGTTGATGACGAATCTTAACTTGCAATTTGTTCTTCTCCAACTGTTAATTCTCATTCAAACCTTATATATAGCTCCGCCTTTAAGTCCTCAACTTACTACATCAAAATTCATCTTATTCCAGTTGATAGATCTCCAGATATTACAAAAATCCTAAACAACCCCAATATGTCGACTTCTGATACTTCTTTACACTAATGATCAAATATCCTCTATCCGTACCATTAGATTAATACAAATTTTTGCATGCACTTGGCATACTCAACCATCTAGACATCTCTAAAATTTCAACTATAGATGTTTCTCCAATTTCACAAAATAGTCAAGAGTACTAGCCTTAATTTTATTGCAAAAAATCCAATTCACCAATATAAATATTAACTTTGAGCAACGATTGTAAAGTCCTTCCAAATCCTATGAAACCAAGTCTTACACCTTTCGAAGGAGCTTGAAGCTAGCTCTTCGATTTCAAAATCCCGATCTCCAAATGCCCTCTTTCTTTTCTTCTCTTTCTTTTTAACTCCATGAGGTCCCCTATTCTTCTGCCCTGGACTCGAAATTGGAACAGCAGACCGTGCTTCCATGGAATTCTCGCCTCTAAGAGGATCTTTCTACGGAAAGGACGTTTCTCTAAAATGGCATAGAGAATGGAATAGCTTGAAATGGAACTGAAGCCTCCATAATCGAGACCTCGTTGGGTTGCCCAACCGAGTCAGGTCTCATATTGGGTAAGAGGCCCATAACATGACTTGGATTGGATGTCCCCGTAATTGGGTCAAATTAGCCCTTTGCATCAGGCTCACCCGAATGTTGAATTGGTCTTTTTTCCTTTTGTCAACTCTTGGTAAGAACGGCTTGGATACATTCCACCCGATTTACAGGAATGTCTTTAGGATCTCGATTTATTTCTTCAATTTTTCCTTGGCTTTAGATCTGTTGATCTCAATTATTGAAATTGAACGGAGCATTACATTGTTGATAAGTATGCCCCGACTGCTTGCAATTCCCATACACTAGCATGTAATAGTCATTGGCTCTGGAATTGGAACATTCACTAGTATAATGACCAATCTGTTTGCAACAGAAACAACAAAGTGGTCTTCTTGCACCCCCATCAGGCATATTAGATGTCTCTACCAGTATATACCTATTAAGCTTGTTCCATGTAGAGTTAGAAAATAATTCTAGTTGTCCCATTGGTATGGAGGGTACTTGATTTGATGACACCAATGGAGCATATTGCTGATGTCACGTATGGTGGTATAGCTTGCAATGGGGTGACATTAACATTAATATTAGCACTGAAATTGGCCATTGTTTCTAACATCCAAGATGACTAAATATTAATAAAATCTTTTTTATTTATATTTTTACCATATAGTCGTATTACAATACGACACCACTATTTATAGAAATTATTCTTAAAAATATATATATTTATATATATATATCAATATTTATCTAAATAAAGAGAATTAGATAGAAGTATGTAAATTTGATAATATTTTGTAAAGAAGTTTCTTTGAAGCTTTATACATACAAATTTGACTTCTTAAGTATTTATAAGTCGTTGATAGGTTGAAAACTTATCAAATAAGCTGGTTACATGTTCCACCTCTTTACCACTTCCTTCACAAGTTGGCAACATATCATACATATTGGCCATGTGGCACATATGTTGGAAATTTGACTTTCAAATTAAACATGTATTCTACAAGTTAGAAACGTGTCGGACAACTAATAGAATGTCAACCATAGTTCCTTAATTAGATAGTATATATAGAGTCAAAAGGCAAGGCCTTCTTCATTCTTATTAAGTCATTTTTTACTTCTAGTCTAGTTTCAAGAATATATGGTTTTTTTGTCTTTTACAATAGATATTCTAGTTTTTTCTTGAATATACATATTTACTTATTTCTTTTATATCATCTTTTTTTAAGATACATTACACTTATTTAATTACATTCTTCAAGTTCTTTTCCTTAAAATCAATGTTGTTTTTATATTTCAATTTGATAGAATATTTATAGGAGCATCTCAAATATTATTTGAATTCTTAATTACTGCAACTACCTTAGATGTTGAAATTGTTAGAGAAGTTGGAGAACTAATATAAGGAAATTAATTAAAAGGTCCTTTTTAACCTTATGAATATCATGTTATATTGCATAGAGCCAATTTTAAAGGCAAAACAATAGCCAACAAAGTATTGACTTACTACTCAAAAAATTATTTTTATTTCCTATATGTACATATTATTTCATTATTCTTTATTGATGCAATCAATTGTTATATATCTTTTAATAGTCATGAAGGTCAAAATATTTAATTCACCATTTGAGCAATAATTTATATGAAACTATAGAGGAGTTGCAACAAGATAAGACATAGATTAAGTACAAATATTGAGACAAATTTTTAAGTTAGTGTAATTTTAATATGTAAATATACATATTATATTAATAAAGTAGAAAATTAATTTTTAATTATTGAATATACCTTATATATATATATATATATATATATATATATATAAAATACAAAAATTATTTATCTTTTAATTTTTATACTAGCACTTCTATGGCTCAAAAAAATTAAATGAAAATAATAATTGTATGTAGGATTCTATTTACTACAAAAGATCTTAAATAAAACTTAAGAATTTAATGTTGATTTATAAAATATATTAATACAGAATGAGATTAAATCATAAATACAAATTATTCTTGTAGCCATTTATTTAATAATTATCTAATATGTGTGTATAAAACTGTAAATAATTTTATACTTTTAAATTAGAATTTGATACTTTTAACAATTTGAATTTGATACTTTTAACAATTTGAATTACTTTTAAATATAAAATTCTAATATAATTTTTTATTTCTAAAATAATTGGTAAAAATTAAAAGCTATAGAAAATATATTAGGATTTGTTAAGTTAAAAACAATCATTATTAAGTTGAAAGCCAGATAAAACTTATTTTGAAAATTAGAATATTTTTAAATTGATCTATATATTATTTAATAAAAAAAATAACATCATTAGCTTTTGAAAAATAAAACATGTCTAATTTAGAAATTTTATCACAAACACAATAAATCCGTATTTGTAATATTTTACTATACAATGTTATAAAAAATAAATTCAAGTAGATATAGAAAAAATATAAAATTATCTTGTTGTGTAAAAATACATTCAATATTTCATCTGATATAATAAATTTTTATCACTTAAAAAGTACACGTTTTTATCATAAATTTGTAAATATTTTTTAAAAAATATGATGATTGATCCTTATTTTGTTATTAATTTTTTTTATTGAAGTATAATTTAATGTAATTATAAAAAAACTAAACTTCTTTTTTTAATTATAATTTTGAATTCGAGATTTTTTTAAATTGATAATTTTTTACAATAATAGGTTGTTTCAAAGAAAAATCAAATTCTTACACAAGTGAATCATTTTTTGGAAATGTGGAGTACATCAACACTGCGTTTGTAATTAAAAATGCACCAATGTACAAATGTAATTACTAATGCACTAATGTAATTTAAATCGTATGCAATTTATGAGTGCCCGATGAAGGATATAAAGAAGAGTTAATGCACAGAGCTGAGGTATAAAAGTAGAATCAGTAGAGAGCCCTTGTACAAGCATGGGCTAATACTACCATATAGTGATAACATGCACAAATTAAATGCATCGGAGTAAATAATACTTCTAGAAGACAATTATACAATTGGGAAAGTAACAAATGTCAATTCGAATTAGTTCCAAGAATTCCACTTTCTACTAGTGTGTAACGGGGTGTACCGTTTTCAAATAATCACAACCCTCATTCGCAAAGAATAATCTTAAACTTCATTCCCAGAACTTTCCCCGAAGAAGCCTTTACACTCCCGGACCACATTCAGTGATCCACGCAATATGTGTCTACATTACATTTAGATAAGGATCTGAAATCTATCTATCAAAAGATTAATAGTAATCCTCGTTTCGATTCCAGTCCAGAGTAAACCTAGAAATTTGCAGCTAGAAACTGCAAGTCAAGTGTTTTCTGATACAAGTGGCACCCAAAATGAAATATACAAGTTACCAAGTTCTTCAATATGGATACCAGAAACTCTTCCAACAGAAAATTCTCCTTGTATCGAGACAGAAGGTGTTGATATGTGTATGTTGGGATACTCATGAGAATTTAGAAATTTCAAGAGGGCGCAGAGGTTGCAAGAGATTTTTGCACCAAAGCAAGCACCTGGCTAGCTAAATTCTCGGAGTATCGTGAGATGAAGTTCTCCATATCCACGGAAGACAGTACTGAATCTATGGACGCTCCACTGGCCCTCCATGACTGCCGGCCATTGTCCCCTGCAAACATGCGTATCAGTGAGTACTGAAAGCATTAGCAAAGGTACAGGTGGGGAAGCTAGTTGTATACGGATTTATCAAATACGCAGCCCCAGTCCATGTGCAATAAGCTCTTACAAGTTTGATCCGAATTAATAGCAGGAAAATCCAGGAAATCGTTCAAAACATGGCAGTTGGACACTTGTCCAGTGAAGAACAAGATGACCATGGATTTGGCGAACATACACATTCAGTCAAATTAAAAACAATAACGCATAATGTTTCTGAGCAGTACATGAACATTCTACACAGGTCTCACCGTAGTCAGTGCTTTTGTGGAAGGAAAAGTCGCAAATCGTAGCATTGTCGGGTGACTTTAAGCCATCTGAAGAACCTGAAGGAAAAGAACAAGCTGACACTTTATCTGCAAGTTTCTGGATCACTTGTAGAGTGACTGGTGCCAACCTTTGATAAGCTTGGCCAGAACGCACTACATCCGGTGGCAGACTTGACGTTGGAATATTTACAGAATCAAGTCTAGATCCAGTCGGGTTACTTTGGTAGCAGAACGAATAAACCTCGTCAAAAAGAACGGAAGCCTTGCTTGCTGCATCCATTAGTTCCTTCAGGGCTTTCTGGTAGTCCTCCACAGGGCGTGGTAATGCTTTCATTGTGGACCTTCTTGTATTGTAGGTTTCCCAATGTGACGAATGACAAGGTTCTGTGTCACTTCGGATTGCAACTTCACCTGATTCACACAGTAGTCAAGGAGGCAGCAAAAGATTATGTTACCAGAGAGGACTCTGAATTCTTCAACACAAATTAGAGAACAGAAAGACAGTGCTTATCGAAAAAGGAACAGACGGTTAGAATTTTCAAGAAATTGTACCTGTCGATGAAGGAGAATCCCTTTTCTCGTCACATGGTTTGTCCTCAGATTGGAAGTCACGGTCACAGGTCGCTCCCATCAATGGACAGCCATGTTCGCCAACAACACCGTCTACAGCTTGGTAACATATGGTATCCCCGGAATTTTGAAGTTCAGCGACGGTAGGCGCAGTTGGAACTTCATACTTTACTGACTTAAGGAGATCGTTAGATGCGTTACCCAGCTTGGAAATCCCAAAGATCGACTCATCTTGGATCCGACTCTGTTGTGCTTCACGTCTTAATCTATAAATCGATTGCTCACTGCAGTCAAAAACCATTTTTTCTAAAGCTTCGTCTTGCAACTTCGGGGAAAGTGAAGATGGAGCTGGAGCTGGAGATGGTATTGGAGTCCTAGATTTGAACTTCAGAGAAAGACGTTCGCTTCTTTCGTGCTTCAATTGAGGACTTCTAGACGCCAAAAGATCTGGCATCTGTAAGGACCCTTCCCCGTGCAAGTGTTCTGATCTTTCCTGTGCACCTTTCTTTGCACCGCTCCTGTCTGCCTGTACTGCATGGCTCGTTGGCCAAGAATCTTCGTCATTCAACTTGACTAGTGATTCATTCTTGAGCTGAACTTCAGTGATGTCCACCTGTTGCAAGATCACATGTTAGATAGAGAACGAACCGGAATTCCATTGGAGCAAATCAAAGAAGATCAAAACACTTATTATCGACGTATCTCAAGATTGGACGCAATGAAAGATCCGACACTTCGATGATGCAGCATGCCGGAGTCATCACCTCTTCTTCGTGCAATCTGAGCCGTTCTTCCTTAGAAATAGATTTCTTCTCTAAGAATAATTCAGAGACAACACTGTCTTCCAACAATGCGTCAACATTTCTTCCATTTTCTTCTCCGTTTTCAGCAGGGGAAGAGGGGAAAGAAGTCGATCTTGGTAGTTTAGGGTTCGACTGTGCAAAAAACCGGGCAGAAAAGCTCCTTCTGACGGATCCTTCGACCTATTCAAAGAAAGAGGGTTATCAACGTTTCGGAGTACGTCCAATGAAACGATGTTAAATAGGAAGCTTATCTCCATACAAGCTCTTACGACTTGCTATACGGGATTACACAACTGTGGAACAGCTGAACAGATTTATGGCAGAACAATGTTTGTCAGATCTTAATTTTAAAACACAAGATACTCAAACACCGGCGCATACTTGGCGTCGCAATAATTTTACCATTTAGATCACAGGAATGATTTTTAGGAAAAACTCTTACATCCAACAGAGTGCGTCCCATCATTTAGCACCTCACATTCAGAACGGGTATAGAAAGATAAACATTTAGGTGATAGCTTTAGCAAACTAAGTGCCGCACAACAAGACCTGAAAAATTCAAGATAGTCATAAAGCTTGTCAACACAGTTAAATAGAAGAAACTGCTGAAAACAAGGTAAGGTTGCTGACCTTAGGATCTGATGCTAGCTTGTAGAAGTGGGCACTGAAAAGATCCCGGCACGGACTGAAAGAATCATCCTCAACAATTTCATCTTCTTCACTTTCGAAGGACAACTTCCCACTGTCTTCCCTGGCTAATCTTTTCTCGTCTCCAAAATTTTCACCATTTGTTTTAGGTATGTCCGATGGACTCATAGGGGCTAAATGAAAATCTTCCATCGCCTCATTTTTGTCTTTTGAGGACACCTTAAACAAAGTCCTCTCCCCACTTTGGACTTCTACACCGGCAGATCCAGGTGTATAATAAACAATATCTTCCGCTTCACTGGCACGTTTGAAGTCAGCAGTCTCTCCTTCGTCATTTGAGGGGCCAACCTTCGCATCACCAGTTGCTTCACTCTTGTGGTTTCCCGCTACAACACGCAAAGGGGATTTGCGTTGTGTAGTTTGGGGATGTGTCTGAGCACCATGAGGAAGCGCGACTATTTTGGGACTGATATCGTCGAAATCTGAGTCATCCAAGAATACAGTATGAACTGAAGTCCAGTGAGTTTCCTTCCTGTATCCAAAAGGCAATGAAATTTTAGATCTTCGTAGATACGTCTTGATAATTTCAAATCCACACAGAACTCTAGTCTAGAAGTTCTCAATGTATTTGTCTTCTAATTGGCGTTGAGGTTGGTGCAAGTATCCAAACTCAATCGCTGTTTGGATTTAGCTACAATGAAGTTGAAAATCTTATGCCCTAATGTGCATAAATAAAGTCCACAGATAACATAATCACAAAATCATGAAACTAATTAGCAAAGTAGACCGTGACTTACCTGGGGACTAAACTGGGACTAGAGGTTGGACTACTCGGAAGCTGAGAGGCTGTACTTTCAGGAGTGCTGTCTGAATCTGCTACACTTACTCCTTCGACGGAAAATCGTCTCTTAGCTCCAAATCCACTTGGGCGTATTGTTGCTGGCGGGGTGGATTCTTCCATGAATTCAGAGAACAACTTGTATCCATCACGACCTAGACGCTGTTATGGTGATTCTTAGAGTTAGAATGAATCGCGAGCAGAGACATGAAGTTCTTCTAATTCAAACATGATCTTGCTAATGCTAAAATAAGACGAAACTGTAGGTTGCTTAGTACCTCTGTCCATCTGGACTGCAGTGCCTTATTTTTATTCTCGGTTGTATTCGGCTCCTCACCTCCAGAAGGAGGAGCTTCATCACGTGCAATTTTCGCTTGTGCCCATGGAGGTAGCCTTGACACGCTGAACTTAAAAGCTGCGGGAGTCACTTCTCCAACCTGAGAACCAAGTCAAGAGCCATGACGTGAGCCACCAACGTCGGGAGAAATCCAGCATAACGCTAATCAATCTCCACCTGTGAGGAACTAAACAAACAGATGCATATTCTTTTCACATACATCCGAATGATTGCGTTATTTGGTGTTAACCACGGTATCGACACTGTCCACGCAAGCCTCCCTTAGAAGACTGGGTTTGGAAGAAAAGGAAACCAAGAGCCGTTGCCTACACAATGAGTCTGACACTACAATCTTTTTTCCCACCACAGCGCAAGGTGAATAGGTGCTCTGAACCAAGTTAGACTTTAAAGATACGTCCAGAAAGAAATTGTCGCAATCCTAGTGATAACAATATTCAAGCATAGTTACACCTAAGATTTCCGGTGTATATTAACCAAGCTGAATACAGCAAGTTGAGCAAGCTCATACCGCTGATCCTTCCGTCTCTTTACATGGAGTGCCCGCATTGTGACGCTTCTTTCCATCTGGATCAGCTTGATTTTCTTCAAGATCAGGACATACGTTCTCATTAGTCCGATCCAAAGCTTCTCCTTTCATTTGGTGGACGCGTGGTATCTTTGCAGCTCTGGGGATGTCTTTGATATTGGATCGAGGCACGGATGATTTAAGCGTTTTAAGAGGTGGTCGAGGGTCAGTTACAACGCTGCAACGTTTACGCATGACCCGTGAAAGATTAATAGGCAGCCGCCACACGAAGATGCAGCTATCACCACTTACCTGAAATTAATTTCCATGTTTCAGCATTCCAATTAATTCAAAGTTGATATCCTTACCATCGTATTTTGACTAACATTAGCAGAGATATACAACTTAATCTCCAATTTTCTTATAAACTCGACGTGTCCAAATAGCTGATTAGAACATCTAGCTCATAACTATCCGTGCTACTGCACTACATATGCATGATGCAAAAGTTCCAGTCTGCTAATTTAAAATACTTACAGAAATGAGACGCCGACAATCGGGAAGGAATGTTACTCCAGTTATCACTTCTGCATGACCTGAAGCTTCAGCTAAAGGCTCTCCAGTTATGAAGTTATAGATGCGCATACATCTATCCGAGTGCGAGCAGACCACGTAAACCCCACTTGGATCCATCCGCACCTACATCCCACAAGTATTTAAAACACAACAAGGATTTCTTCCAAGACACATGCAGCGTTTCTACTACAGCAAAATTTAAGATTCAATCCAGATTCGTAACTACTGATCAGTCGAGAGCAGACTTCCAAATAACTTTTTACTCAAACATTGCAGTGTACCTTGATAGGTTCTCCAACGTCACCTTCCGGTTTGAAGCATCGCACGGGCTTACCAGTTGCTAGGCTCAGGATGTTAAGTTTCTTTTCCTGCATCCCCAGCAGACAACAACATGAGGGGCTATGCATTGGTACTAAAATAAATGATCAGAGAAGTGGCACGGCATCGAGCACAGAAATTTCATGTAGGAACATTATTAGCTATACAATTTTAAGTTATCTCTTTGGTTTGCCGCAATTTTAAGGATAAATTAGAACGCGTTATACAAATGAACCTGAGTAACACAACCAACACAACCTCGACCGACAAATATAAAACAGTATAACCTGGCCAACGGTGACGACGAGCTTATCAGAAGCATCTATGTCCATGTCGTAGATAGTGCCTCGTGTGGCGATTTCCTGATGGTAGCGCGAGGCCTTGCATCCCGACTTTGTCATTGCAACATCTCGAAACACAACTGACCTGTAAGACAATCACAAAAATAAAAAACGTGAATATGGGCAAATTTTCGAACTTTCAAGATCTATTAGGAAGTTACGCAGCGCATAATGCATATACCTTTCAGTAGGATTACATTACTTGCCAAAAAGTATTGCCCATTCATAAAAAATAAAAAAAAAAAAAAAAAAAAAAAAAAAGTAACAAAATATTCGAGGAATTCAATTTGTCGGAATCAGCGCCGTCATATAGAAAAATCAACGGGTTCAAACATAGGGCATGATACATTCAAAACAGATTACAAGGAGAATTTCTGTTTGAATTCAACTCATTCTGAATAATCGTTCACTTACTTATCGGCGCTGCAGCTTAAAAGTTTCGACCCGTTGCAAGCGAATCTGACTGTAGTGATAGACGACGTATGATCATCCAAGGTCTCAACCACATCATAGTATCTACAATCGTTCACGACAAGAAACCCGTCAGGAAAAGGCTCCCAAATCGCAGGTTTTATTGCGCAAGCCAAAAGAGCTGCTGGACAACTTTAAAGGAATCACTCGATTAGCACGAAGTAAATGCCCCACTAGAACACTCATGTAGTTGTTCTATCCAGCATTTTCATGTATCACCATAATAAGTTGTTCGCTGGAAACTGTATAAAAACCACTTTCCATCAAATGATACTTTTAAGAATAGAGTTTCTGAGGACGCGTGACGTAATGACATGAAAGTCACCTGTTAACATCATAGACATGAATAAGTCGGTCACGCCCTCCAGAGGCCAGCAAAGAATTAGATGTGAGAGCTGTGTCGCAAGGATTGTTCTCATTGACAATAGTGGTATAGGCCAAAGATAGGATTTCGGCATCATGCGCTTCCTGTAAAATTCGATGATGTAAACATCTTAAGGCATAAGCTACCATAAATTCCACATAAAAGTTACAACGAAATGCCAGTTATCTAAATTTAAAAAAATGACCAGTAACAGTTATTGACAGATTATTTAGGGCTAGCGAATTGCAAGAGAGGGCAGTCATACAGAAAGAAGAAAGAAATATTCTACCCAATAGCTCAAGTTCAGAACAGGGGGAACTATAATCCACGTCAAAACCCTGTTGTCACAGGAATTATCTAAGAATACAGTACCGTAGCCGTATATACCTGAAAACTGTGAAGAAGCAGACTATTAAGGTCAAAAATGCGAAGATTTCCACTGCTGTCACCAGCTGCCAGATGATTCCCATCAGGGCTCACAGTAATGGACCGAAATCCAACGCTTGTATCAACTGCTTCTTCACCTGCACCAGAAGTAGAAAGCCTTCCCTTGAGCTCTCCCGAAGTATCTGCCGTCAAAACAATACAAAAAAAAACAAAAATCACATTAAAGTCTAGCAGGTTACACATTGAAAACTGGCGACGCATTAGAAACAGGAATGGGGCGATAGCAACGAGTCACTTAAGGAAATACAAAGCACAAGTCATGAACGCAAACGGAAATTCAAGCGTAACTACAGGAGCAATCATACATAAAAACGCTCATCACAAGCCATAATTGTTTTCGGGAACATAGATATGTAGCCATGTCACATATAATACGAGCTGAGAGTGCTGGTGCGAAACCTATGTAGAGAACTCCTAAAATATCCTTGTTGTACACATTTTGTGGGCGTGCATTGTCACTTGATGAGTGGATAGGAGAAGCTTCAGATGTGTCATCATGACCAAGATCGAGGTGCCACAGTCGAATAGATCCGTCGGCTGAACAAGTTGCGAAGGATTCCCCACGGGGCACACTATTTACACATGTTGAATGAAACCGGTCAGGTAAGCTCACTACATCCCAAATGCAGGAACTGTGGGGAAGAAAGGTGCGGTATCTCCCAATCTGGACATGCCTCACAACATAATGTAATCAATACGTAATTTACAAGATACATCCAGTCTGGATTGGAGTCCTGGGCAGTTAAAATCAAATGAAAACCGTTGAGACATATGCCTTGTTCTGAGCTCCAATATCTTTTAACGAGGTTTACAATTAAATTTATTCACAGCGATTGATTGCACTGACCAATATCATAGCTAGAGCAAAAGTGATACACTTGGTTAGAAAGTGACCTTTGAGTAGCTCCGAACATCCCACACGTACAAGCTATGATCGGCATAGATAACAGCTGCAAGCCAAACGAATTGGTAAACATTTGGAATGAGAAATACAGCAGGGATCAATCAATCCATGTCTTCTGACCAAGTTAACCATCAAGCTAAACACTACTCGCTTAAGACTAATTAATCGAATGCGTACGTGAAAAGATAACTGCTATAACCTGTTTTCTCAACGTGAGCGAAAGTCTTACCAATATTTTGGCCTTGCTGGAGATAACTGCACGCAATTGCATCTGGAAACCTTATGCCATCTGTTACGCGATTACCCACAGCCAAGTAGGCACCCACGTTGGCGTCTGTGAGGCCATGATAGCCATGGGGTGCAGGCCGAGGAAGAGTGGAAGAATATTCGAGACTACCTTGCAAGAAAATCCGAACTATACCATCGCTACATGCACAAGCTACATAACCCTCCGACGCTGCCAATGCATACGCTTGTCGCACCTGCTCACAGAAAATCATGTCATTTTAAGGCATCATGCGGCTGTTTGCACATACAATTAACGAACCACAAACCGACGGGCCATCAACTCAACCAGAAGTATTCTTACTAATCAAACTAAAGAATGACGTCATATGGCTACATTCAGCAGAGAGTATTTGTGTACTGTGAAAGCAATTTGAAAGGTAAACCAAGCCAATACAATTCATAATATTTTCACATTCAAGAACCGTTCCAATTCACCTGTAAATCAACCCACTTTTCAATAGCCGACCCAGAATGAAGAAGACAAAGAACACCTGCACAAGTGCAACACACATTTCAATGCCAGTCAGACACTCCTCAAATTATCCCATCTGCCTACGTATGCTGTACACGCAAGCACGTGCAAAAGAAGAAAGGACGATTCTTAGGTACTCTAAGACCGTCAACCACAAGGAGCTATACAATAATAGTGACCCCAACCACAAAAACTGAAACATACAATGGTCTCTACAAGAGAGGTTCTATTACCAGAAGATGTCAACGCATAAATAGGTTGATTTGCAGGAGCTCCGGCATTCTGTTCTCTTGAAGTGGCTGGGGATGACAGAGAGACAAATATGCTCTCCTTCTGACTGCCCAGTTTAACAGGCCTTCCATCCATGCCAGGATTGGTAGTCATACCAGATGACGATCTTGCTCGAGGACCACCGATAGTCCATTGCTTGAGGTGTTTCGCCCCACCGGACACGAAATAGCTGCCATCTGTGGCGAACTGCACAGTAGACGCTACCAAGGAACCGGACGCTGCTCGGGTTTTCATGAGCAGAGTTCCACTTTTCCAATCCCAGAGACACATGTATCCATCATGTGGCAGACCAAGTGATATCAAGTGCTTACCTACAACACGCAACACAATAACAAAAGAGCGTCAGAAACCGGGGCTTCAAAACTTAAGCAGGGCTTCCAAGTGAGAAACTAGAATAATAAGAGTACAGGGATCACCACCCAGTTATACCAAAAGCAAAGCAATCATTTCTAGCAGAGATAGAAATGCATCCAATTGCTCATGCATGTGTTGATATATATCGGGAATCGGATTACGTTTAAGCATGACAAGAGAGCTAGGATGCAGGTTCGGAAAAATGGAAAAAAGGAAAGAAAGATTAAAAGGGCCTTTTCGCAGCAACAACTGATCGTGGCCGAACTAGAAAGAAAATTTGCAAAATGAACGATAGCGCTAGCCAGCAGATTATTCTTAACCAGCTCAATCCAGTACATATGTAAAACCTATGGTTCTCGGTTAACCTTACCATTTGGAGAAAATTGTACACATGAGACTCCGTACTTGTGTGTCTTCATTTCAACAATGCACGTGAGAGTGGCGACTTCCCAAACCAGAACAGCCGGTTGGTGCCCTGACTGTTGTTGGACAAACAAGCATTTTATAAGATTGTGAGTCATCAATGTATCGGGAGCGGGGCAATTGATAGAGCCGCAAACAGCATCCTAGTTCCCATTACTGGAAAATTAAAAAACTGGTACACCGACATGAAAGCTGAGATATAAGTTGGGAGCATCGTTTACAAAGACATCACCTCTCCAGCAGCAATGAATTTTCCTCCATGGCTTGAGAATGCGACACAAGAAAAAGGTTTGGGGTTCCCGTGTGCTGTGAGGAAACGGGTCTGACAGTTCGTCCTTGCATTGTATACAACTATTACACAACCAGCAATGTATGCTAGCTCTTCATTCACACCGTTGCATGCTAACCCATTTGGGTTTGCTGTTGTCAAGCCAATGACTCGTTCTAATTCAAGCTGCAGAAATTCGTACCGGACATTAAAATGCTGACTACATCAAATTCCCAATCAGGTCTGTAGGGAAGCCCAAGATCTTGTAATGCGCGAACACTAGGACCCGAGTGCTCAATCACAACTGTTGAAGACGCTATGAGAATAGCCACTGTGCAGGAGGATGGGACACGTATAATTGTGCTCGCAAGGGTACCGCAAAAAAATTCAAAATCAAGATAGTATTGGTTAAAAGAACCTTCCCACAGCCATCTGGCTTCCTCTGTTTTCGCCTGACGAGCCTCATATTGGTTGCAGTACAGTGCGTGCTTGTATAATTAGGGTGAGCTAGGGCTGATGTCCCAAGTCATTCTCACTCTGTTGCCCTGTAAAAAGTCAAATCATCTTAACTCTGCGAAAATGACAATGCACTCCTTGAGCAGTAGTGCATGCGATCTCACTAAGCTAGAGTCACGCAGTTGGTGGGGAGAAGTACAGTAGAGACGGCGCAGAAATTCACACCAACTACAGATAACTATCTCCTGTTCTCAGCTCAATTCACATGTCCAAGAGAAAATTCCATAGACATCTGCTCATGAGAAACCTGAATACTGTTTGCACGTAATTAGACTGAGACGTCCTTCTTGAAAGAAACGCGTCGGACCAGGAGGAACATAAATACAGGGAAGAAGCTTTTCAGAAAAGACATTCTCAATCAATTGATGAAACCGATCGAAAACTTGTCCTTCTTGGCAGAAATGGATCATAGAATCGGAGACTCTTACTCCCGACAACACCCTTCGAAACATCCTCACAACCTCCTCGGAACATTGAAAACTAATCAACCACTCGGCGACACTGCTCTATTACTATCACAACTGCATTGAACCTCACCTCCTCGAGAACACACTGTGATGCAGAACCATTCCATCAACCCCCCTAGAATCCACCAATCCGACATTGAACGGACAAGGAGACGACAGAAGGCAACAAAGACGAAGACAATGCGAGGACGAGAACGCAAACCATATCACAAGCCCCCCTTGCCGACTCACCGACCGCCCGAAGGAAGAGAAGGAAACGTACCGGTCACGAGGAGCAGCAACGAGATGGGCGAAGTCAGAGACAGAGAACGGCATTTGAAGATACAGAGCAGCAGCAGCACCTGGCGAGAGGAGGGAATGGAGCCCCCACAGCTTCAAAATTGATATGGAACGAAGCGAGGAGGAAGAGGGAGGAAGAGGAGACCCGATCAAATGCAAGGCTGGGGAATTCAAATGCCGAAATTGGAGGGAGAGAGGGGAGGGACCTTTTCCACTCAAAACGGTCTCCAGTGCTTCTCAGCCCCGGGCGTTGCTTTCCCCTGACCACGGCACCCTCCATTGTCAGACCCGTACCCACACGTGATCAACGTCATTCGGGAACGCCGTTCCCCTCCCCTGCCCCTCATTAATTGTCGTCACAACCAATAAAATAAAATAAAACAACATATATGTTTCTATTTCTATTTATATATATATATATATATAGTGTGGGTGGCCGAAGCTTTGTCAATGCAATTTTCAAACCCCGCACTGGGTACCTCCGAAATTGCTCCCCCCTCTCTCTCTTTAAGGAAATTCTTGTGTCTTCTCAATCCTAGTCTTCTTCTTCTACCATGAATTTTCCCATTTTTCTTTCAATCTTTGTGTTGTAGAATGGATTTAGGATGTGAAGTATTGGTTGTATTTCTTTCTTATTAAAACCACCTTGGTTGTAAAGTGATTACTAAAAATGATGTCATTTCCACTTGTTGTTCTTTTATCAATAGTAACGTGGGTATAAACCCTCAAATGGTTTTGTTGTCGTTCTGAATACATGGCTTCTCAGTTATTATTATTCTTATATTGTTTTTGTAAGTCTTCATCAAAAGCACGATATTTATTTTTAAGGATCAAAACTAACATATAAGAATCAGGAAAACAAAAAAAAACAAAACAAAACAAAACAAAAATGATTCTATTCACATAATAAGTACACAAAAACAATATTTATTAAGTTTTAAGAGAACTTTTTTGTTGTTGGTTACAGGTTGCCTTTACTTCTTACAGAATTGATTGTCTTTGCTTTACATAAGCATTTTTTTACTATTTTTTTTTTCAGATCAACATGCAATTCTAATTTAAAAACAATACAAAGTGATTTGATTGAATCATTGAATTAGAGTGCCTCTAAATTTAAGAGAAGAAAACTATAAATTGAAGACATGAAATTTTATCAAATTTGTAAATTCTCTTACAAAGTCATAAAACAACTCTTCACAAACTTCGGAAAAAAAAAATTATTGGAAGTTATGAAGAAATATTTGTATCATAAACACAAAGACCTACAATATATAAAAAATAATGCTTTTGGTAATACTAATCAATTCTCAATTTTCAATTCTTCTCAATTCTCATGCATGTTGTGACTGACCAACTATGCTATCTCTCACTTTGGTCACTTTAGCCATAAATAAAATAAAAATAAAACTTAAAAATAGGTTTTATATCAGTGCACCACGTTCAGGAGAAAGATTTTCTCACAATGTCAATTTTGTTAATTTCTTAAACATAAAATTTAAAATAAAATACTAAAAATTGGTCATGAATTCTTATTATATGGGTATTATGATAGTAATAAAGATATAGTTGCAACCAGCAGCATTCATATTTAGAATAAAAATTAAATGATCTATAAGTACAAAAACCTTGGTTTGTAGAATATCAAAGATGAGAGGAAACTGAAAAAGTCAAAGTGGTCATTTTATTTCTTTACTTTCCATTGTTCCAGTTTACATTTGAAGCAATATGCTTTGAAAAAATACAAATATTTAAAATCACAATCATGTGAAAAGAAAAAAAAAATTAAAATAAAATCTCTATCACACAAGTTTATATTACAACATTCATTTATAAGACAATGTGGATTTGTACATCCTTTTGTTATTATTATTATTATTATTATTATTCTTTTCTCATTATTTTTGTCTTGCATATATATATATATATGTATATATATAAAGGGGAATGATAAAGCAACCCAAATTTTTACTAAAGTGATCCACCCATCATCACAATTTTGTACATGGATAATACAAATCTTCTTCATCATTAAGACAATTATCTACATTTGGATAAACAAAATTATTATTTTGGATATAATTTCCAACAATTCTCAATAGTTTTCAATGGCTAGTAATAATATCTTTCTATTGGTCTTTCCCTACTTACCCTATACGTATGTGTATACTCAATTTACTTCTTCATGTGATTCTAGTATATGTTCTTTTCCAGATTGCCTGTAGTGGACAAAGGAGAAGAAATTGTATATTCTACAATTTTATTGCATTTTGCATTAGAAACTGAGGGATATATTTGTGTACCACTAGAAGGATATTTGAGAGTATAGAAGAAATGAAATGAAGTATTGATGCATTTATGTACAATCAAGGCTATGTTGTATGCAAACAATGCTCTCATACAGATTGCATTGATTGTAAGTATAACAAAGGAGAGGTTTTCTAAGATCATAATTATCATACTCACAAATAAAACAGTGCAAGTCATCTGATAGAATGTCTATTTGCATTGCATGCTCCATCATTTGCATAATAGTATTTAATGGCATTTGATTGTTCAAAATACTCTTTATAAGCATAAAACTTCTTTTTCTCTTTAAGGCAATCCATTTGCTTGCCGTTTGCAACTAGTCAGAAAAGAACTAACTTCATAATTGCTAGTCATAGGAATTCCACCAAAAAATGTTGTTGTTGCCTTATATGAGAGTGATGTTATTAGCAAAGTTATTGCTCAAACAATTTAAAATGAATAATAGAAATTATGTTGTATTGTACTTATTAGATGATCACATATTATATGCTGTATGGAAACTTTATAAGAAGCTAATTACAATTTTACTTATCATTATGATAAAGAGGATAAAGTTACTTGTTTAATTTTTACACATTTTGATTTTGTTTAATTTGCAAAAAGATACTACTTTTCCATTGCCATGGATTATACATATAAAAAAAATAGATTTAGAATGCCAATGTTATATGTTGTAGGAATGACAAGTTTTAATATCTCATTTACCATTGTCGTTGTTTTTTTCCAAGAAGAAACAAAATTCTTCTTTTGTTGGGCATTAACTCAATTTTAGCAAGTGTATGGAGAAATTCAACCCATTTTCATAGGTGTTGATAGAGATTTAGCATTGATAAATGCCATTGAATTAATATTTCTCACTTCAAATGTGTTACTTTGCATTTGGGATATTCAAAAAAATATGTTAGCAAATTTCCAAATATAATTTTCAAACAAGGTAGATTTAGGATGGTTTTCATTTCTTACAGATTGGACAATTGTGATTACTATATGTTCTTTGGAGCTTTTTGATTTGGAGTGGGCTAATCTTTACAACAAGTACATTCCAACTGTTGTTCATGTAGCTATTTAATATTTAAAGAATACTTAGATATCACATAAGTAGAAATTTTTTAAAGCTTGGACAAATAATCTACTTCACCTTGGAAGTGTTACTACATCACAAGTAGAAGGTCAACATTCAACATTAAAATCCTACTTGAAAGTCTCATCAAAGACTTTAGAAAAGTTCAAATTCTTCTTTTACTTTTTTGAAAATACAACAAGAGAATTGAAGACTCAAGAAAGTTTAGAACAAACCCATATTAGTCATCAATACAATATTGGTTTCTTCACCAATGTTATGAATTGTGTATCTTTACATGCTCTTAATCTTGTCCTTGAGTAATATAAACAAGCAAGAGTAGAAATTGATGAACTCAATTTCTTGTGCACAAGGACAATGACAAATATATTAAGTATACTATGTAAGCATTACATACAAATTTTATTGAGAATAGGAGATGTTTTGTTAATTAGTGATTTTCATCATCAATATTACTTAGTAAATACTTTTGACCAGTTTATTCTAATACCACCTATAATTTCATTCTCTTCTAAAAATTCACGTCTACTTTATGTTGCTATTAATCAAACTTTCAATGTTTTATCAATTCACAAACAAAAGAATCTATGTAAAAGATTAGTGTAGCTTTCATTAATAATTGTGTGATTGGAAAATCTGCAAGTGAGTTGTCCAAAGGGAAGACCACAAGGAGCAAGAAATAGAACTAGAAGTGACATGCATGTAGAAACATCAACACAATGATTTGCATCACAGTTCAAAACTATAGAAGCAAGAATAAGAAGGCACTTTTGCAGCAACTGCAAGTCAATGGAACATAATATCCTTACATGCCCTACAAGGACAAATTTTTACTCACAATTGTCTTTTTATATTTTACAAATAGAGTAGACTTCAATAATATGATAGCAAAACTATTTTGGAAAAATATTACATATAGTCATTTGAAAAATTATAGATGGTTATTAATTCAAGTAATATTAAATATCAATTTATTTCTTACTAACCAAGTAAAAATGATGTAATTAACTTCATTTTCTAATTAAAATTTATTAACATTTCAAAAAAATATGAAGATGCAAGTTTTATTTATGTGATATTCAAATTTTGTTTGAAGAAAAAGTTAAGTTTAAATGAGTTTGGCCATATAGAAATTATGACACATTGTAGGAGCCTCAAATATAGATTCAACAAAGGTAACACTACAAAAGACTTGTTTATAGCTCATCCACCACGAATATTGTTTATACTTGCTGATGTATGTAAAGGGTAGGCACTTACACCTATATTGACCCTTAAGAAATCATATACTCCTCTAAGAACTGCAAGCCTTTACAATGAATTATAAAATACACAACCATGTAGTCAAACCTGATGGCAGTGTATAATCTAGAACATTCATGTCATTATAGCAAAAATTCTAAAGCATAGAATAATTTGCATTGCTTATTTGCTACATTGCATGATTAATATACACTATAAAGAAGATACATTAATCACCTATTCTTCACAACTCTATAAAAAATTAAAAAAAATGTTTTACATTTTTGATTGCAATGGCCTATTCAAATGACTAATTAAGACACTACGTAGTAAGATCTTCCAATAAATGATAAAATTGAAGATTACAAAGTTGGAGTCAGATAGTGTATTATCTCAATTTTAGGGTGAATGGGTGGAAATACTAGTTTTGGTCTACCTTGCTTCGAAAGGACTACAAAAGAGTCATCCATCCAACTCCCTGTGAATGTGCTTCCACTTCTATGTACTGATGCTTGCGCTCCTAATGTCAATGCCAACATATCAACAATCATATAAAACAAAATTATCTCTTGTCCTTGTAGGAGCACAATTTATAGTTTCAGCCAACTACAACTGATCAATTCTTTCAAATTTGACAAAAAATCTTTGAATAACTATCAATAATTGTGCTAAACTAACGAGAACAAGAAACAGACCTAGATGCATAATAGATTCAATTGCAAAATTGCTTTGTACAAATGTTTGCACCAATGACAAAAAAACAAATGCTGACACATTTGGCAGAGCCATCTTGACAAAGAAAAGTCATTAAATTTATATTTGAGCATGTGCAAGTTTCAATTGTATTCTTCTTGTAACAGTCCTAGGTTTGGTAAATGTGTCAATTGTCATCGTGGACTCCAAGAACAAATTACCATCACATACAAAAAAACATCACAAAGAGAGGAGGGTTGCATGGTAGCAATACAGAGAGAGGACAAACATAGGGTAGTAATGCAAAGAAAGCAAAGGATTGTAGGGTAGCAATGTAAAGAGAGGGGGATTACAAGGAATTAACAGAATGTAAAGGCCAAGAAAGCGAAGTGGCTCTTCTTGTAAAGGAAAGAAAGACTAACCTTGTCCTCATTCCAACAAGGAGTAAGGCAGTGAGATAGATCTATAGCAAGTCCCTCCTTCATTTAACAAATAATTAGTGTTCTACAATTAAGGACTACTTCAGCTATTATTATAGATGGCCCCAATGAAGATTAGATTATCATGATTGTGGATGAATGTGCTTTCTTTTTATTGGTTCCAGATCTAGTGATAGAGAAATGAATCTAGAGGTAATTATTTTTTTCATGATTGTGATGATGGGTGGATTGCTTTAGTAAAAATATGGGTCGTTTTATCATTCCCAAATAAAAATATATATATATATATATATATATCATGTCCATAATTGTGGGTCTTGAAGTTCAACTCCAACCTTCTAACCAATTATATACTCACAGTTTCTTACTGTTCCAGAGTTTCGAATTCCCCATGTGCCACGTAGGAACATACGGGTCATATATCAATCAAACAAATCGACATGCTTATGTGTATATATATATATATATATATATTTGGTCTGGGCAGCCACGGGCAGATTAGAGCACAGAAGGGAAGGGCAGGGAAGGGAAACCCGAAGTGGCCTTGAAGGCCAGAAATGTGAGATTTAGGGTTTTGGTTTTCGGGAGTCCTAGTGTAGTCGTGTTGTTGTTGTGGTTGGAGAGGTTTTGGCGATGACGACGTCGAGCTCGTCCACGATGCTCCTGCTACGGCGGGCTATGGCAACTGCCGCCAAAAACGCTGGAGCTGCAACGACGGAGGTTGCGAAGGCGCCAGGCACAGGGAACCCGAAGAAGAAGAATTTGTTCGATGTAGCTAGGCTACTACCTGGCTGGGGTATCGGTCACAAAGTCGCGAAGTCGCATTGGAAGCCACATTCGTATTATAAGCTCTACGACGTTAAGTTGCGAAAGGTTAGTTGAAGGTCCCTCTTGAATTACTATGTCAGTACGGACGAAGCTGGAATTTGCAGCTGGATCGTTGTCGATTTTCTTTTTGTCTTTTTTCTTTACTAGCGTGCGGTGCTTTCTTTGGGCGCTATTCTTGATTTTGAATTTTTGAAGGAATTCGGAATTAGATTCGCAAGTCAAGTTGAAGAAAACGGTTCCTATGTTTCACATTGCTTCTGGTTAGTCTTTCGTGGATTGTATGTTTGTGTGGCGCTCCCAGTTTATGTTATTCAAAAGCGTTTTGAACCGCGTGGTGCACGAAGTAGAGGAGGGCACTTGAGTACGTGAGTATGCATGATAATGCAGCAAACAATACGCTATGCTTTTGAACACGGACTTTCACCCTTTAAATTAGAACGTTGAGCTATGACTACTTAAGTTGTAACAATCAGGGTAACCGATCGAGAAACAAAAAAATTACGGGTGTACAGATGGGCTAAGAAAGATTACGCTAAGAATGGCATGTTTTCGAGCGCTTTAGATCATTGATTGAGCAATCTTACAAATCCGTAAGGCGTCCTTCCCTCAATAACATACTGCAGGGTCTTTGAAGAGCATTTCTCCCCTTGTTGTTTGCGGCTCGAGCTAATGTGGAGTTTCCTTGGTGTGAAGGATGCCGGACATGGCGTCGCATGGGGAATTTATCATGAAGAAGGTAAGTGTTATCTCGTTCGTATCACTGTTCATTGGACGAAGGAGTTAAGTTAGCATGTGAAAGGTGACAACTTCTGTAGAACTGCTATTTAACTTCTACAATGAACTGTTCGGTAGTTTCAAACTTGTCCTCACGGTTATTGGATTTCGGAAATACATTGCATTAGTAGTTCTGTAGTGGTTTTGTTTATAATTGTATGCTATTCCGAGATTAAACCTAGTTTCATGCTCTAGTTAGGGATGGTGCTATGGTTGTGAAGTTCAAACATTTTATCAATCACCAGTTTTGGCTAATTAGAAATCCGACTTTCAGTTCAGTAGAGATCCGGCATCTGGTGTGCATCTTATGCTCCCGCCTTGACTTTTATCCTTTAGAATGCCGAAGTTTCAGTGAGCCTATTTAGTTCTTCAATCTGTTCTTCCTATGGCTAACTATAACGTCGTGTATTGTGTGTGTGTATAGGTGTAGAGGCAGGGAAGCTACAGAAGATTAGCGGAGCAAACAAACGTTGTTGGAAGTATGTAGCAGATGGACCAGAGCGAACTTGGCAATTTGTAGCTTCACAGAAGACTGTGGTACCCGACAAAGAGAAAATGGAGTCTTAGCTTAGCATCGTTTTATTTATTTTTTAAAACATTTTGAGTAGTATCACCTTACAGTTTTCCACGTATCCCTTGGCCATTCTCCATGTGGCGTCTTCATGAATTCTATGATGACAGCTGGATGGAGTAATCGCTCTGACAGCATGTGTTTACGGGAACATTCCACCCTGCCTTGAATTTCTTCCAGATCCTGGGCATGATAGGCTTTGATCTTAACAGAAGCATGTCTAACTGTTAGTGAAGCGTCTTGATAATCAACTTATGATATGCCTGTACACTTTGACGTTTCTCGACTAATCTCTGTTTTATATCGGTGTGCGATGGCACATGTAAGTGAGATTGTTCTGCAGAAGGCGCCGCTTCTGTTTGTCTGCCAAGGCCGAATGTGTGAATTTGGGGAAGTTGGTCACAGATTTGTAGGCGTACAATCTGGCATTCAATCGAATCCTATGTAATCATCACCTTAGTCGTGCTCCATTGCTGATCATTGCATCCAGTGATTCTGTCCACATTTTTTGCGTCAGTGACATTGAGACCCCGTGCAGAAGAGGTGGTAAACCAACTAAAGGAGTCTTTTGAGAAGAATTTGAAGTGCCTTTGTCAAAATTAAGGAAATCCTCGTCACTCAGTATAATCTACTTTCTAAATTACTTAGTTTTAAAATTGCTGTGGCGCTTCTGGGAATCCGAACTTTTACTAGATACATGTGCTGCAGTTCCGACGTCGAAGTGTCTCAAGATTACGGTAATTTGAAATTCTTACATACTTTTCTTGAGTCCTTGAAAGCTTTCTGATCCAGTGGTTTTCACCGCACAGTGACAAGGATTGCATGGCAGCAAAGAAGCTTCAAGTCAAGGGTTTTGCCCAGGTCACTGCGCCCAAGGTAATGAGCCATATTCTCCTGGATCGTGCACACTTGAACTGTGCCCCTGCCTAACCAACAATTCGTCCCAAGGAGCAAAGCAGAGCAGTGTGAAGGTGACAAACTTTTGTGGATCAAACAGGAATCCCCAGATTTAGAAACTGTTCACGAAAAGATATCTGAGAGGAAAAAAATGACCTGTACTTCAGCAAAACTTGAAATGCAGTGTCGGCCTGTGTATGAACTAAATCTCAGAGGATTAAGTGAACGGGTAGATTGTCACTCTCTGCTCTGCTCACACAGTACACACAAGACCACAGCCAAGCTCAGTGCTTGCTCATGAAATAGAGTGCATATAACTTGTGGAGGTTCAGATGTCTGGACCACAACTGATGATGTTGCTGGTCCCTTTCTATCACGCAACCTTCGTCCAGCCTCTTTGTGGCAAGTACTCTAGGAAAGCAATCCTTTGTACTCTCTTGAAGCAGACAACAGTATGCCCTCTCTTCCCTGATAAGAACCCTATTGATGCGAGGAATATGCAAATGTGTAGTGTGGCTGCTTTGATCACAATTGAGTCTTCTTAGCTGGGGATAGTATCATCAGTGCTCTAGTTCAACTGTAAGTGTCAGAATGAATAATGTGCTTGCTGCAGATTGGGATATATATATATATATATATATTTGAAAAGCTCACAGTTCCCTAGAAAGATGCACCTCAAGCTACACTTGCCGTCATTCTCCGCCTGCTCAGATGCCAACCTCCCACCTCTTTCACAGAATGCTGGCAGTCACCTTTGTGATCATTTAAGTGGAAACTTCAACGCAAGCTCCGAATGTCTGAGAGCTTTTGCCCAGTTCTATCAGATGTGGAAGATCTGTTGGAGATGGATTATAAAATAGAGGCATTATTAAATTTCATCGTTAAAAAAGGTTCAATTAATGATATGGTTGTGAATAAATAGGATATCCAGTTTATATCAAAATAGTATTGTATACTAACATCATCTTTGTTTATTGAGTTTTATTAAATTTTGGATACTTTGTTGTTCTTTTTCCAAATATGAATCAAGTCTAAAAACACTGTTGTATAAGTTAGTTCCCAAATGTAAAATCAGAACATAGGTTTGAGTCATTTAACTATAAAATTAATCACAAAATTTGTTTTGAACAAGAATTAATTCTCTACCAGGACTTCCTTTATTTTTATTTTTTATTTTTTTCTGTACAGAAAAATTAAAATGAAAAAAATATGAATTTTCTTGCTAAAAAACATAATGTAGATTTGTTTATAAATGTGACTGTAACATAATTAATACATGATTATTTAATTTTGAGACACTGCATATATTGGAATAAAATACATGTAAAGAGGTTTAATCAAATTATTATGCCCATTGCATACAAGTAATTTGAGAATATAAATCATGAAATGTAGTTCATGCATTCTTACTACAAATAAACTAGTTCAATTAGTTTTATAACATAAGAAAATATTTAATTTCTATTTTTTTTTTTGCTTATTTAAAAATAATACTATCTGATTTAAACTCATGCATGGAAAAAAATTATATTTAATAATATATAAAAACCTTGCTTTGTGGTGACATACATGAAGTTAATAAAATAAAGTTTCAAAATATTTAAAAAACTAAATTACATAACAAATATCTATAAAACTTGTAAAAACATATGATATAAATTATAATAAAAGTTAAAATTTTAAATTGATGATATCCAATCTAAAAAATCTATTTTAAAAATTATATTTTTAGTTAATTTAATAGTTTTAATTTCTATACTATATTATATTATATATAAACAGATTTTAATTTAATTTCTTTTCTTTCCTCATCATACATTTATAACCTAAATACCAAAGCATTAAAAAAATACTAAACATATAACTATATATTTTAAGAAATGTAAAAAATTATGTATAACAAAATACAAGATAAAAAAATCAAAATAATAATTTAATCATGAATTAAATAATTTTATTTTAATGAAAAAATACTCACACACACACACACATACATGTGTATATATATATATATATATATATATATGTATACATATATGATATGATTTTAGAGCGGAAATTAGCTAATATTATTGAAAAATATAGTTTTTAATAATAATATTTTAAAAATTTAAAATTTTAATTTTCTTCATGTAATACCTATGAATATCCAATAACAGATAGTATTATTTTTAAATTATTATATTAACTATATTATTTTTACAGGTTTCAAATTGAAAATTTTAAGTTACTTGATGTAAATATATAATAATAATAATAATAATAATAATATTTATAAGAAAAATAAAGATTGTATCAATGATAAATTCTAAAGCTCATGTCTTATAATCTAATTGATTTTTTCAAAAAAAATTATAGTCAATATGGTTAATTTTCAGTTAGTAAAATTATAGTCTAATTTTATACTTTATTAGATACAAAATATTGGTATTTAATTATATAAAAAAGTTTTAGGATAATTAAAAAAATACTTATTATTTCAGTAATTATTTATATTATAATATATTAATAGATATACATTTCAAAGAATAAGATGAAACTATGTTAATATACATATTTTATAATAATGACTTTTACTTATCATTTTTTATTTTTTATATTTTTAGTATTGAAACTAATAATTTTATTTATATAAGTTTTGAAATACATATTTAAAAAAAATATTATAATAAAAATAAATTTGTGAGACATAATTTAATTAATTTTAATTTAGAAATTAATTAAATTACTATCTACTTATATAAAAAATTGTGACTATCTATTTGTCTACAAAAATCACTAATTGGTTAAGGTTTTCAGTATTGTATATAATCACAAATTTAAATTATTTAAAATAAATTTTACTTCACCTTGAACCATTTTTTTTCTCCATTTTCAACCTTTATCTCTTGTCTCCTATATTTCTATCCTTCTCCTAATCTCCTATCAGAAATATATATATATATATATATATGTATATATATATATTTCTACTTAAATAAAAAATATTAGATAAAAGATAAATGAATGTGGGTTTAATAATATATTGTTGAGTAGCTTCATAGAATCTTTATAGACTTGAATTTGATTTTAGATGAAATAGGACCGGACTATCTCAAAAATCTAAGACCCTTTTAAACCACAACAACATAAATCCCACCACAACTTAAGATAGGTGACATTACAATAAAAGAAAATAGAATAGAACTAAACAAGAAGTTCTAAAACCAAACTTTATTAAGGAAAAGAGTCCAAAGCCATACTTGACCAAATGCCCAAATGGTCCTAGTCAATCTTATTTACTCTTTATCCAATCATCTTAGAACTTTTTAAAATGTTCTAAATGATGAATCCCATCTAAATAATCATCTTAAGGTCTTTTTAGAATATTCCATGGTGGATCATGTATAGTCCACTAATCAAGCCTCAAATATAGAAACTTCTATGAACTTCTTAAATATGGCTCTAACTATCTATTCTTATGCATCAACAGTACAAATATCTTATCTATACTCTACTATGGTTAATCTTCCTCCACTAATGCAAAACATCTTTATTTTACTTCCAATGGTATCTCCAAATTGTTTCTTAGCAATGAATGAAATTTTGTGCATGTTCCTACATTGCATCGTGGATAGAATAACCTTTCTAAAGGACTTTGTATTGAAGTTGTGGATATCCATTGTCACGATGAAGGTAGCATTGCTCCAAAATATTATCCACTTCATACTCTTCTTGATCATCAACTATAATTGGTAGTGGTGGTAGTTGGTATTGGTCCAAAAAGTATCTTGGCTTGATATGAAATTCCTTGAGTTGTAAAACATGAAAAATTGGATGGACCCAAATATATGGTAGAAGCTTGAGGCAATATATGACATCAAAAATCATTGCCAAAATGAAAAAAGGTCTAAGCCACCAAAGTACTAGTTAACGGATTTGGATTGCTATAGTAAGTAGCAAGTTGGTAGTAAAGAGTAATACTTGATTACCATCTTAAAAGGTCTTGTATTGCTGAAGGTTACTTGCATGCTGCTTCTATCAATTCTAAATAGTAAAGAGGTGGTGTTGTACCTCCTATAAGGTCATTGTAAGCCATTGTATGAATTCTTCCATTGTTGGATTATTGGTGTCAATGGCATGATAGAGAGTTGTTGAAATAATTGGATGTTGTCTAGTGTTAAAAAAGAATGGTAAATGACCAATACTTGCTTGAATACTATCATTGTAAGTTAATTCTAAGGGCATCAAATATTTATCTCAGTCATTATGATGAATTGCCACGAATGCATATAGCATATCTTCTAAGATCCAATTTATATATTCTATTTGTTCATCTATTTAGGAATCAAAGACCATAGACATGGTAAATTATATGCTTAGTAATTTAAATAAGTCATGCTAAAAACTTCCCATGAAGCATGGATCTGGATCTAAAATGATGACTTGAAGTAATTTATAGTAACAAAAGATAATGTCAAAGAAGATCCCTACAAGTGCTAGAGCATCAATATTTGAGCGCACCATAATCAAGTAAATTTGCTTCAAGAGTTGATCCACAAAGTCAACAACCATGATGGAATTGTGAGGCGTTTGTGAAAAATACATAATAAGATTCATAGTTATCTGCTCTCAATGTACCATAGGTAGTGGAATTGGCTACAATAGTCTAGAAAATGGTGCGTTGTGTACTTTATTATATTTGCATGACTTGTAGGAGCTCACAAAAGCTCAAACATCATAATCCAAACCTATCCAAAATCATATTCTAGAGATCCGTTTTAAAGTCTTCTCATGCCCTAGATATCTTTATATTGGAATTTCATGTCCCTCTTAAAGTATGCATGCCAGAAGTATAGCATTATCAGATACATAAATCTGTTTTTTGAAATAAAACAAGCCATCACTAAGATTTTAATCTTGATACTATATATCATTCATATTTAGTCAATTGCTAATTATCTTGAAATAAGCATCCCAATACATAGTTTCTTTTTATTCTGCTTCTTTGGTTAGGTTTTAAATGACACTATTTATGGTAGCAACTTTCGTTTTGTCTTCCAATTTGGCCTTCAAGTCTAGTCTTTGCAATAAATTATCTAACACAATATGTTATCATCCTTGCTTGTACTCAAGCTAAATGTCAAAAAATTAAAATTGTTCTTTTTAATAATGATGTTGTGATTTCATATTTTCTAAATACAAATTGTGTAGCAAAGATCAATGGTTAATCCAAACAATCACTAGCTACTCCAACAGATAGTATCACCACTTCTTCGTAGCATGTATAATCACTAATTGCTCTTGATCATGTGTAGAGTAATTTTGCTTTGCCCTTTTGAGCTTACATGATTTATACACTAGGGTTTAAAAGCACCTATCAAAGTCTTGTTGAAGAACTGCTCCAATAGCAAAGTCAGAAGTATTAATGTCAAGTGTATAAAGAAGATTGGAATCATATGATTGCAATAAAGATAATTACATATTTTTCCAAAAGGTCCCAAAACAATATGTTCATGTGACTCATGAAGGAGGCTGAAACATTGGTGAGGCCAAAAGATAAAATAAACTCTTCAAAATGTTCATAGCATGTACAAAATGTTGTCTTTGCTATATCCTCTTTGTGGTGTCAATAATCTTTACAAAGCATCAATCTCTATTGGCATTGG